ATTCCTGGCTCTCAGACAGTTCTGTCTCCAGCTTCAGATGTTGACAGAATTTCATTACTTGTCTGAAGCATAGTTTTAATAAAATAATGCACGCAAAGCACCATGTCAGTGGGAAAAATACCATTTCAATGTGTCCCAGTGTTTGTAATTAACTGGTGCTGTTTTAAGTGTCTCCTTGGGTGACCCCTCTGCCCTTTTATCCCCCCACCCCCAGTAAAATCCCAAGGCTTTAGCGCTTGCTTCTCCCTTTGATTTGCCACTCTGGGTCTGTGAGGCTTCATGCCTTTCCCCCTCCCTCTTGCAGGAGAGACATGGAAGAGCTGAAGGAGCAACTGTGCCAGGAACAGTCTAAGAGGGCAGCCCTAGAGGTAAGAAATTGCAGATAGGGTTGGATGTGGAAAAATTGCTCCTTTCCCCAGCTGCCCCAACTCATAAAAGCCATGTTGGAGAATGCTATTTCCTGTCTGTGCCAAATGGGAACTCTGCCCTTGCCTCACTCTTGTATTCTTTTTTATTTTTTTGGGCAGGCTGAAATTGAGCAGCTGAAGCACACCCTAGCCCATGGGTGTAGGACTGTGATCTCTGGGGACAGAGCCCCAAGCCTCAGAGCTGCCTCACCGGTGCAGAATTCATGGCTGCCTGCCACCTCCACCAAGGACTGTTGAGGAGAGCAGTTCTGTTCTCCCTTGGCCTGCAACTGCTGGGGAAGAATTCTGTCCTCTGCTCTGCAGAATCTGGGGTTCTGTCTTCTGCTCCAGGTGGGCTGCAAGGCCCAGCCCCCCCTCTTCCCCCCTGCTTGAGCTCTTCTGCTTCACTTGGGCCTGCAGGGAACTGAGAGCACCTATCCTGCCCCCCCCCTGCATGGCCTGAGGGTAGGGGCTGGGCTGGGCCAGGCACAATTGTGATTACAGCGCCCAGGATAGTCTTGCAGGTCAGTGCTGCCAGGATCAGTTTCACCTTTCCCTTCCTGCTGCCTGAATTTCCTGCCTTCTTGAGTGGGCAAATCCCACCAGGGCTTGGTCTGTGCTGGACCTGTCCAGCAAGTCAATTTGACCTGGGGATGGCAGGCCAAGAAGCTGTTTGTACATGGGGCACACAGTGACATATGAAACAGGCTTAACTTGTGGTTTTCTCTTTAAAAGTATGAGACTTTGTGTCAGTATACTTGGAGGATGCTGGCAGAATCCAAATTTTGGGGGGTGGAAAGCTGTGGTGGTTAAACTGTTTTAGACTGTGTTTATTTTGGTGGCTCCCATTCTGCATTCCTCCTGCCAGCTAGCACTTGGCGTAAAATGCCCAACTGCTCTTGTTTTTAATGGCTAATAGTGTGTGTGTGGGGATAAAGAAACGCCCCCGCCCCCCAGGGCAGCTACTGATACAAGGCCAAATGGCTGGAAATTGTTATGGATAGTTCAACTTCCTCTTAATTTAAAATTAAATATTTTTTATACTTAAACCAGGCTGCTCTCTCTTTCATGTGTGTAAACCCACAAAATATGGATTAATGGGTTAGTTCTTATCCTTCCAGTTTTCTCCCCATGTGCTGGTAGTACTCATCCTTTTGAACCTCTCCAGGGTGAGGCAAGTAAGCAGGGGGTGGGGGTGGAAGGCAGAAGAAGGCAAACCTAAAATGGCAGGTTCTCGCTGAGGCTAGAGCTGAACATGTTGGGGGAGGAGTGGCCTCCTTTCAGGGGCTTCCCCGCAGTACTTTAGGATGGTGGATTTAGCAAGCGGGGGGGGGGCATCCCTTCTCAGGCTGATGGTGGAAGAGAGACCAGCTTTTCATCTCCTTCACAGTGGGGGGAGGGGAGCTCATGCTTAACCGCCCCTTGTTATTTCCATGTAAACTCTGAATAGCCCAGACAGGCCTGAATCTGGAAGAGAAGCAGGGTTGGCCACCTTAAGTACTTGGCTGAGAGGCCACCGGAGAACACCAGGGCTGCTCTGCAGAGGCAGGCAATGGCAAACCACCTCTTTTTGTCTCTTGCCTTGAAAAACCTACAGGGTTGCCTGACGTTGGCTGTGACTTGACAGCACTTTCCAAGCAGGGCTGGCCATGGTTAGTAAGAACATAAGAGGCGCCAATGTTGGATCAGGCCAAAGGCCCATCCAGTCCAACTGTGGCCAGAAATACCAGGTGCCATCAGGTCCTCCAGTGGGGCCAGGACATTAGAAGCCCTCCCACTGTTGCCCCCCCCCCAAGCACCAAGAAGACAAAGCATCACTTGCCCCAGAGCCCCTATCTATACCTTGTGGCTAATAGCCACTGATGGACCTCTGCTCCATATGCTTATCTAATTCCCTCTTGAAGCAGTCTATGCTTGTAGCCGCCACCACTTCCTGTGGCAGTGAATTCCATGTGTGAATCACTCTTTGGGTGAAGAAGTACTTCCTTTTATCCGTTCTAACCCGACCGCTCAGCAATTTCGTGGAGTGCCCATGAGTTCTTGTATTGTGAGAAAGGGAGAACAAGTACCTCTTTCTCTACCTGCTCTTTCCCATGCATAATCCTATAAACCTCAATCGTGTCTCCCCTCAGCCGTCGTTTCTCCAAGCTAAAGAGCCCTAAGCGTTTTAACCTTTCCTCATAGTGAAAGTGTTCCAACCCTTTCATCATTCTAGTTGCCCTTTTCTGCACTTTTTCCAAAGCTATAGTATCCTTTTTGAGGTGTGGTGACCAGAACTTTTACTTGCATGGGAGACCAGCAAAGAGGGGCAGGGGTGCTATGCAGAGGAGGGCAATGGCAAATGACCTCTGCTCCCCTCCTGCCTTGAAAACCCCATGAGAGGTCACTGCCGCCATAATTTGGTGGCGACTTGACAGCACTTTATTATTGGATTCTGAAGCTGTCTACTAGCAGGCCCTTTCCCTCTTTCCTTGCCCCAGCTTGGGAGCCCCCACACTAGGCCTAGGCTTCACTTTGCTAATGAAGGGTGGGTGGGTGGGAGGGTGGCAAAAATCAATTTGAAACTGCTCATCTCTTCCCTTCGCCTCCCCATCCTCTTACAGAAAAGTCAGGAAGCTGGAAAGAAATATCCAAAGTTTGATTTAGATCACAGTGTAGATGCAATTTCTACCACTAGATGGCACCACTTTGCCCCAACAACTGAGGCCAGTGTCTGGCGGAGGAGTGTGGGGCTGGATTCCTTCCTGTATAGCCCTCCCCCCATGAGCCTTATCCATGATGAGTTAAAAGCCTGGATGGCCCTTAGGAGCATCTGCTCTGCCCAGGCAGCTCTGTCTGGATCCCATTGCAGCTGGGCTCTCAATGTGGTGTGTGTGTGTGTGTGTGCTTTTTAAACCCCAGCTGTGTGGGAGAAGAGTCTTTCCTCCTTTTGAAAGGATTCCAGGCCTTGGCTTGTGTGAGGGGAAAGGGCAAAAAGCACAGCTGGGCAAATGTGGGGAGTACAAAACTGGGCTCCAGGCTTTCTCAGTAGTCAAAGGAGCAGGAAGGAGCTTGAAGTTACACCCCACCCCCAAACACACAGAGGCACATACTTGTGCTATCCTCCCCACCCCATATGATCTGACTTCTCCCTCCCCCCCCCCGCCCCCCCATGATGTGGATGGCTTTCATCCCCCAACACACACACACACACACACACACACACACACACACACACACACACAAACACACCCCTCTGCATTCCAGGCAGGCTCCTGCCTGGCTCCTTACCCTGCAGGAAAACATCTGGCTCCAATTACAGGGGCAAAGGATGGGCTATTTTTATTAAGCTGTGCTCATGCAGGGTTGGGGGGGGGGGGGGCACAATTTTACATCCC